CAGGAAGGTGCCCACAGTGGGCACTGAGCGCTGACAGCTCCTAAGAGCCTCAGCCACCTGCACCTCCTAGAGACAGGTGTCCGTGCTGAGGTGGGTCTGGGCCCAGCTGTGCCATGGGTGGCTGAGCAGATGGGCACTGGGATCCCCTTCAGCAAAGTTCCATAGTGTGTTCGGTGTTTTCCTGCAGATTGAGATGAGGAGTTTGTTTTTCTGGCTGAGATTTATACTGAAGACTGGTCCCACACCTAGGAGCAAAGTAAGGAGGGGTTTTAGCCATCCCAGGCCAGAAATTGCTGTGCTCACTTTGCAGAACCCAAAAGGAATTTGGAGCACCTGAATTGTCCCTTCAGCAGTTACAGTGAGTGCCCCGCAGAGTGAAACCAACTCACAGAGCCAGCCTCAACAGGGAGTGAAATTCACTGAAAAATCCCCAAAGCTGTGTGTTTCTACTGTTGTGCATGTGTGCACACATGCGAACTTTTATCAGTAAATCAGAAGGGATAAAAAACATCTAGATGGCCTTTCCTCCTTTCTTTACTAGTAAAGGTGCTAATGTGAACTGCAGGTAGCATTAGGAAGAAAATACCATCCAGAAAATCAGCCCCCAAAGACAGGAAGGTGGCTCTGTTGTCCAGAGTGGGCTCCTGATACTGGCTAGCCTGCCAAGGAGACACCCAGAATTTGGCCTCCCCTGCTTATGGGATGCCCTTGTCTTCAACACATCCATCTATCTCCTCAATCACTAACCTAAAAATTACTTCAAAAAGTTCATGTGAAGATTCGTATTCTAATTCTATTTTCTCCATGAAATTTTTGAGGTACCCTTGTACATGCACATGATTCAAAAATTTCAAAGTTCCAAGTCCTTCTAGAAGATAACCACTGTTACCAATTCCTCTGTAGCCTTCCAGAAAAAAACCTATATATACATATGTATGTATGTGTGTGTATTTGTGTGTATGTTTGAAAAAAATAAGGCATAGAGCATTTTGTATAGTATACTATCATCTATGTTTAAAAAGAGAGAATACACGTACATATTTGCTTGTATGCATAGAATATCTCTAGAAACTGGTAACCCTCGCCTCTGGGGAAGGGAACAGCATACCCTTTGGAAGGTATTACATTTTGAGGTATAAACATGCACATTCACATTATCCTTCTTAATCACACACACATTATTCTCTTACACACGTGTTAGGAGGTCTCTTCTTAAAGTATGTCTTCTTCCTAAACTCATACTTCTCACAAAGCCTAAACTACATGAAGATTGTTCCTGTTTTACAGCACTGGCCCCGAGGGAACCTCAGCTCCCCAAGTTACTCCTCTGGCCCCCACAACATACACACAAGCTTCGGGATGTT